TGCTGCTGCTGCTGCTGCTGCTGCTGCTGCGCTTGCTGTGCTTATTTTGCTGCTCATTTTGCTGCTGCTCTTGCTCTGCTTATTTTGCTGCTCATTTTGCTGCTGCTCTTTCTGCTGCTTTTGCTGCTCGCCTCTCTTAGTGCTTTGCTGTTGTTGCTGCTGCTCCTTCTGCTGCTTTTGCTGCTGCTGTTGCTGCTGCTTTGTTGTTTCTTTTTATTATTTAGTTGTGTTGTCTCTTTTTATTATTTACTTTTGTTGTCTCTTCTTGTTATTTCTTTTTGTCATAGACTTTTACTTTTTATTTGTTTCCTTTTTATTGTCTCCTTATTTAGTCCTTTTATTTGTCCCCGTCAGCAGCAGCAGCAGCAGCAGCAGCAGCAGCAGCAGCAGCAAAGTCTTCTCCTTATTTAGTCCTTTTATTTGTCCCCGTCAGCAGCAGCAGCAGCAGCAGCAGCAGCAGCAGCAGCAAAGTCAGCAGCTCATGGGCCTGGGGCGGTGGGGTTGTTGTTATTTGCTGCAGGTGCGACAGAGTGCTGTACGGGGGCCGCCTGGTGCCCCCCCGCAGCCGCAGCAGCAGCAGCAGCAGCAGCAGCAGCAGCAGCAGCAGCAGCAGCAGCAGCCCTGTGCGCTGCTTGTCCTACACCCACCACGACCGCTACTTCTCTTCTGACCACAAACCTGTCTCTGCTGTTTTTGATGTTTATTTGCCAGCAGCAAAGTTGCTGGGGGTGTCTCCAAACAGCAGCAGCAGCAGCAGCAGCAGCTGCTGCTGCAGCGGCGGCAGGCTCTGGCAGGAGGAGCTGCAGCAGCCCGCTGCTGCTGCTGCTGCTGAGGCGCAGCCCTCCCGGGCCGCAGCCGAGCTCCTGCAGCAGCAGCTGCTGCAGCAGCAGCTGCAGCAGCAACTGCAGCAGCAGCAGCAGCAGGAGACAGACAGCCAGCGACCAGTGTCTCCTTTTGCTGCTCTCGACTTGCTGGGGGGCGCAGCGCCGCCGCTGCTGCCAACCGACAGCAGCAGCAGCAGCAGCAGCAGCTACAAGGAATTTAATAGAGATTTTAATCAAGAGACAAACTATACGAGCTGGCAGCAGCAGCAACCCTGGCAGCAGCAGCAGCAGCAGCAGCAGCAGCAGCAGCAGCAAAGAGACGTTCCTGCCTTGCGAGCACCCGAGGCCAACCTCCTCAGCCTCCCCGCTTCCCCGAGGGAGCAGCAAAGCCCATCTGCTGCTGCTGCTGCTGCTGCTGCTGCAGGAGAGGAACTTGGCGCTGCAGACGCTGGCGCGTCAGCAGCAGCAGCAGCAGCAGCAGCAGCTAGCAGCAGCAGCAGCATGGGCCCCCCGGGGAGCGCCCTAGATGAACTTGACGCCCTCCTCAGCACCATCAGCCTGCAGCAGCAGCAGCAGCAGCAGCAGCAGCAGCAGCAGCTGGCGCCGGAGTGGTCCCTGCTGGACTTTTCGCAGTCTCCCAATTTTGAATCGCTGCAGTTGCAGCAACAGCAGCAGCAGCAACAGCAGCAGCAGCAACAGCAGCAGCAACGCCTGCAGCAGCAGCACCAGCAGCAGCAGCAGCAACGCCAGCAGCACCAGCAACAAGCGAAGGCGTGGGCCTGACTGACATTCTGCTGTAACGTTTGTGTGTGTATCTCACGCTGCTGCTGCTGCAGCAGCTGCAGCAGCAGCAACAACAGCAGCTGCTGCAGCAGTAGCAGCAGCAGCAGCTGCAGCAGCTGCAACAACTGCAGCAGCTGCAGCAGCAGCAATAGCAGCAGCAGCAGACGGGAGCTGCTGCACCCGCATAGTCAACCAAGCAGTGTCTAGACACCTGCAGTTAATGCTGCAGCTTCTGCTGCTGCTGCAGCAAATGTTGCAGTTGCTGCTGCAGCAGCAGCTGCTGCTGCTGCTTCAACTGACCTCGCGGCTGCTGCTGCTGCTGCTGCAGCTACTGTTCGTGCTGCTGCAGCTGCTGCTGCTGCTGCTGAAGGGACCCCTAGGCAACCATTTGCTTTTCTGTTTTCTTGTGCAGAACAGCAGCAGAGACACTACAATTAAATAAATAAAATTAATAAAATAAATAAATAAAAGAATTAAATAAAAGAATTAAATAATTAAAAGAATCAAATAAATAAAATAATTAAATAATTAAAAAAATTAAATAAAAGGAAAGAGTTAAAGAGCAGCTCAGCCAAAAGAGAAAGAGCGCAAAGGGGGTTTAAATAAACTTCTCCAAACCCTAAACCCTAAACCCTAAACCCTTTTTATTGTTTATATATTAGTTTGCTATTTATTTATTTATTTATTTATTTATTTATTTATTTATTTATTTATTTATTTATTTATTTATTTCTCTCTGTCTCCCAGCAAAGAAAGAAAAATAGAAAGAGAGAAAAACGGAAAGAAAGAGAGAAAGTAAATAAATAATCGTAAGTTGTTAATATGTAAATAAATAAATATTAATAGTAAATAAATAAATAAATAAAATTTATTATTTATTTATTTATTTATTTATTTATTTATTTATTTATTTATTTATTCATTTATTTAACTTTCCTTCTTCGCCTGCATTTGGTTTGCGAGCTGTACGTACAGCTGGTTAGTGCGTTTTTCTGTTTTTGCAAATTCGTCTTCAGAAGTTCTTTTTGGTTCATTTTTTCGCATTTTGAATTCAAATAAAAGTTTTTTGCAAATCAAATGTTCTGGAGAAGAATAAAAGAAACATTTTCTGTTTTTTTCCGCCAAAATTGCCAACTTTTGAGCCTCTGCATGCAGCAAAAGCAGAGACGGAAAAGAAAGCAAAAGACACGAAAAAGAAAAGATACAATTAGAGATTAAATGGTAAAGTTGAACAAAAAGGGACAAAAAGAGAATCCAGAAAGGACAAAAAGATCGATAAAAAGATAAAAGGGATGGAAAATGAATCAAAAGGGACAAAGTGGACAAAAAGAGATTTAAAAAGACCGAAAAATGTCAAAAATGAACAAAAATGGAAAGAAGGGAGCTAAAATGAACAAAGAAAGAACAAAGGGGGGACAGAAGAATCAAAAAGAAACAAAAAGGAACAAAAAGGAAAAAAAGATCAAAAGAAATAAAAAAAAAAGATAAAAATCCGAAACAGAACATGTTATTAACTTGCACTGGATATGTGACTCTTCTCCGGATTTTGCATTTCTCGTTCTTTTTCTTTTTTGTTCCTTTTGCTTTTTTCTCCGACTTTTTGAAAGAATGGGAAATATCTTTAGCAGCAAATGATTTAATTTAATTCTTTTTTGCATTTTTGTTTTTTTAAAACGCAATTTGCATTTTAATGCCTTAATGAGGCCACGACGTCTCGGGGAGAGCGCAGTTCTAGAAGACGCAATTCTTTCCGATCTTTCCGATTTGAAGGGAAAAGGGGTTTTTATTTCGGAATTAAGTCCCCAAACTTTAATTTTAATTAAATATTTATTTATTAATTTTTTATTTCGCTTTTTTTCCGCTTTTTTTCCGCCTTTTTGCCTTTTTTCTGCAAAATGAGGCGGCGAAAAGCTGTACGTACACCCCGTGGGCCATACGAAGTGCGCAGAACTTTTCTGCTTTTGGACTTTCAAATAAATCTATTTAATTTAATTTAAATCCATTTAAATCCATTTAGATTAAAATTCAAGAAAGTCTGTCAGTTGCTGCAAATAAAGCTCCATTAAAAGACTTCTTTGACGGATTCAAAATCTGGAGTGTATCTACGGTGTACCTACACAACACACATAGTTATTATTCATCTATTTTTGATTTATTTGTTTGTTTAGCATTTAATATAGACTTACTCACTTATTTATTTATTTATTTATTTATTTATTTATTTATTTATTTATTTATTTATTATTTGTGGGCCCATTTTATACGGAAAAGCATTTGTGTGCGCGTTTGGGTGTACGTACACACGACGCGAAGGTATGTGGTTTTGCACTTATAAGAGTACATTTAAAAAGAAATATATCTTTTCTGTCTATATATTTACTCCTATTTATCCGAAGATTATATTTATTTGAACATTTAATTATTTAAACCTTCACATATTTGTGCATGCAGGCATGTGTGTAACCTGGTGTATAGACAGCCGGGCGTACACCTCTGTGCCATTTGCGGTGTACATACACTCCATGAATATGAACGCATGCAGAATATCTGTGGAAACGAAATAAATAAAAGTAGAACATGCAGAAACAAAAGCAAGATGTTCTTGAGTTATTTATTTGAAAGTAAAAAAGTCATTTAATCTAATTTTCGTTTTTTGTTTGGGAAGAAACTTTCGGGAAAAGCGCTCGAAGAAAGCTGCAGATACACCCGAAGGCGTTTACAGGAGCTGTCTGTACACCGCAGCGCTCTAAAGCGGGCAGCAGAAAACAATTAAAAAAGCAATTCAGTATTCAAAATGTTTTATTTTTTGTGCTTTTAATGCTTAATATGCCATTCTTTTTCTTTTCTTTCCGCAGAAATGCAAATGGAAGACTTTTAGATGCAGAAAGAGGCTTTTAAAGTGCCTCTTCCGGTGTTCGTACAGCTGAGAAATTGAAAAGCAATTCTCGAAAGTGCATGCATGCAACACTATTCTGTTCCCGTCTAAACAAATTAAATAAATGCGAAATAATACTCTAAAATGCGCCATTTGAAATATATAAAATGCACTTCTTCTCAATTGTCAGACCAACAGGTCGAAGTACACCCTGCGGGCAAATCTGAGGTGTACGTACACCCGAGGTGTACGTACACTCGAGGTGTACATACACCCGAAGCTGCAGTGTGCAGAGCGTTTTATGAGTTAATTGGAATCTTTTTCTGCAGAACTTGAATTAAACCTTTTTATCTTTTGAAATTTAGTTTTAAACTTCAAGACAAAACGTCCAGAAGACGCCATTTGCATTTAATTTGCGTCTCCAGCTTTGTTTCCGCATGCAAAAACTCCCGCAGGAGAAGGCGAGGGTTTAGGGTTTAGGGTTTAGGGTTTGCTGGGGTTTGCAAACAAAGGCAAACCACCTGAGACTTTAACTCCCGTTTCCATGCAGCAGCAGCTTCTCCAGTTTGAATTAAATGCCAAAACGGACTTAATTGATTTAATTAATTAAATTAATTAAATTAATTTGATTTAATTAATTTAATTGTTTTGTTTGTTTTGTTTTTCCAAAGAAAGAAGTGTGTACACCCCGTGTCTGGATGTGCAGCAGCAAAGGCAGCAGCGGGAAACTGCAACTATGAAGCAGCAGCAGCAGCAGCTGCAGCAGCAATTGGAAGCAAACTGAAAAGAATAAAAGCAATTAACTAAGAAGCAGCAAAAAGACAGATTATAATCAGCAGCAGCAGCAGCAGCAGCAGCAGCAGGGTTTGCTGCTGCGGGGAGTTTGCTGCTGCTGCGCTGCTGCTGGTTCGTTGCGGAGTTTTGAAACGGGGCAGCAGCAGGGAACTAAACAGCGAACTAGAAGCAGGAAATGTGTCGCAGCAGCAGCAGACAGCAGCAGCAGCAGCAGCAGCAGCAGCAGCGCTTTGCTGCTGCTGCTTGTGGCAGCAGCAGGTTGTTGGGTGGGTGTGTGGGGCCCCGGGGGGGAAGTGGAAGACAAAGAAGAAAGTGGGAAGAAAGAGACAAGAGCGAAGCAGCAGCAGCAGCAGCAGCGGGAGCAGCTGCTGGTGTTGCTG